TTATAAATCATCATAATCTTAAAAGCTATAACCACAAATAAATAATAAGTTTATAAGTAAAAAATAAGTAAATATTGTAATGCATTAAATCTGTTGTTATGATTACTCATGAGATGATACAGCATATTATAAGTTTTTTTTTATAATACATTTTGCATTCAGCAGAAGACTGGTGCAAAGTTATTTTCTCTGATAAAGCTCCCTTCCGACTTTTTGGGACATCTGGGAAATCTATTGTTCAGAGAAGAAAAGGTGAATGCTACCATGAGTCCTGTGTTGTGCCAAAAGGGAGGCATCCAGAAACCATCCATGTGTGGGGTTGCTTTTCAACCAAGGGAGTGGGCTTTCTAATAATTCTGCCCAAAAGCACTGCCATGAATAAAGAATGGTATCAAAATGTCCTGCAAGAGCGACTTCTTCCAACGATCCATGAGCCGAATTTGGTGATGATCCGTGCATTTTCCAGCATGATGGAGCACCATGTCACAAAGCAAGAGTGATAAAGAAGTGGCTCGAAGATCATTTCATTCAAATTTTTGATCCGTGACCAGGCAACTCCCCGGATCTCAATCCCATAGAGAACCTGTGGTCAGTCCTCAAAAGGCGAGTGGACAATACAACAGCATCAACAATACCGGACCAAAAACAGTGAACAGAACACAACTTAAGAAGGTTGGCAAATGAAGATATTAACTAGACACACCTGAACCAAATGACATAATGATCGGGAGACAGAAACTAGGTCACACAGAGCACATGGGGAAAGAAAACACAACAAACAGTCCAGGGGTGTGACAGTCACATGAATACAGCGCACAATTGGGTGACAGTTTGGTTTGTTAGGTAGAATTAAACTCTTCTAATGGTGAGTTTTATGTTTTTAAAGTAATGCTGATTGTGTTTTCATAGGCTTGGTATTTTATCTTAAGTTACAATGTTCTTCATTAGTTACTGTATGCGATACTGTTACTGACTTACTGTATTATTGTATAAAAAATATAAAATACCATGCTAATTAGTGTGAGTGAACACCTGTTGCAAGTTGAGCATTTATATCTAATGAGTGCGCTTTCAATACTACAGATTGTGATATATTGTTGGAAGAACTCTCACCTGATCTCACACGTCATTAAAGGTGAGCTCAGTCATTTTTCCTTTATAAAACAAGTTTTGCAACTTGTACTTTTAACATTTGTTTAAAATAACATAATTACGGATTACAATGACTGATACTGTCTTTTTACACGTTGCGTTGCATCGCGCCGCGTAAACATAAAACCATGTCTGCATTTGTGATCGGAGAAATGACAAACAACAAGCGCTACTCTACACTGCTCAAAACTCGCGTTTGAATCATCAGTGGCAAATCCTTTAAATATGAAAACGTACTTACAGTCTGTGAGTCAGAACAGCCGGCATTGTAGTCTACTCTCCCAGGATGAGGAAACATGTGAATATTTGGGTTGAACTGTTCTGGAACAGTGTTGTAAATAGGTAGGTGTGGCTGACTCTTAACTTTTATAAAGAATATCTCTTTGGATTTGAGACTTTAGTCTTTGCAACTTCAGTCCGTCTCTAATCAGCAGCAGGTTTTACAGCTGGAAACTTGGGATCTAAACAGGAGATTCCCACACTTTCTGCCCTCAGGAAGGTCAGAAACTTTTTGCTGTTTTACCTCCATTACATTAACCCTTAAATGCATGAATGTTTTGCCAATCATTATTACATAGGCTATTCGGGTCTTTAGCGACCTGGACCTATATATCCAGCATGGATGGACCTCTAACTGCTGCAATAGCAAAAAACTCTCTTGATATGTAGTTTCGCTTTCACAACGAAACACACAGCGTCACACACGGCGGGCTACAGTGAGCAGAGGCCGGCAGGCTAGAGTGAGCGGCGGGCTTGAGTGAGTGGCGGGCGGCAGGCTAGAATGAGCGGAGGGCAGCGAACTAGAGTGAGGAATGGGCTTGCGGCAACCGCATGTGACGACCCTAGGTAGGTGTGGCTGACTCTTAACTTTTATAAAGAATATCTCTTTGGATTTGAGACTTTAGTCTTTGCAACTTCAGTCCGTCTCTAATCAGCAGCAGGTTTTACAGCTGGAAACTTGGGATCTAAACAGGAGATTCCCACACTTTCTGCCCTCAGGAAGGTCAGAAACTTTTTGCTGTTTTACCTCCATTACATTAACCCTTAAATGCATGAATGTTTTGCCAATCATTATTACATAGGCTATTCGGGTCTTTAGCGACCTGGACCTATATATCCAGCATGGATGGATCTCTATCTGCTGCAATAGCAAAAAACTCTCTTGATATTTTAAGAACAATTACAGAAGAATAGAATAAAGCATATTTCGTTACCTTTTGAAACTTAAAAGGGTTAAATTTGAGCAGATTATTTTACCATCGCTGTCATCGTCAGAGCACACTTCCACAGTACATTCAACATCTGCCTCACATTCACGATCTCAACCATATTCTCAAAACTATCATTTTTAATGACTTCATATTCAATATTTTGATCAGTGGCAGCTTATTCATCACATCCAGCATCAAATGGCAGTGACATTTATATTTCATTGCGTATAGTAATTGCTCTGCAGTAAAGCCATTCAAACCACTTCAATTTTTGCTGATGATATTCGTTTGTTTTATGTCTGCGGTAATTATGAGTGAACCGTCACGTCATCATTGTGTATCAAACAGTGCCACCTTGAGGAAAAAAGATGCATTGCACATCATCAGATATGTAAATATAGTTGTGCAGGAAAAAATACTTACACATTTACATACCTCGGGTCTCTAGCGCCCCTATA